CATACGATGTCACAGAATGCTACCATTCGGATGAAAATCCCCTGCGCACAAGTCTCAGAAACTCAGTTTAACTGTTAGGTTATGTTAGGATCCCAGACGACATTCGGGGTAGGCTTCTAAAACAACACGTGTGCTATCTGAGTTACACAATAATCAGCACACGACCAAGTGTCCACAGGTACGGATATTCACTTGAGACATTGAGTTACGACACGATGCTGTCACCTCCGTCATACAGTAGGTTTATTCGACAGAACACAAGCGGGTATTCACAAGCTCTTACATCGACAGCACGGCATATTCAGAGACGTAGACAGTGATCCTAATTGGCATTCGCACGTAGTCCATATAGTCCTCATTCTCTCTCTCAACTTGTAGGGACCTCTCCCTGACCACTACAGCTCATAAGGTCTTCAGCGTCCCACAACTCTGGGTTCGCTGTATAGAGGAACAGGAACAACTCCCCTATCAACTGGACCTTGATATTATTACTTCAGTAGACACGTCGGCTGACTGGAACGGACCTCGTTCTCCAGCATGTGCTCACAGCACCCCAGCCTGTTGAAGGACTCCGATAACCGAAGGACTTCTGAGCTCTCGTCGGTATCCTACTTTTCTGTTTATTTAATGAAATTATGTCTCCTTGCGTAGTCACCCAGAACAGTCACCATTGGAGCATCCAGTCCCCTTGCCCTTACTTCACCAGCGGGATTATACCTTCAACCAGTACCGTGACCGAGACTCACTCAGACCTTGCTGTCTGACGTGTGCACGATACTGTGTCTCACTCGAGAGATATTGACTCTGACCCTGACTTGGTCTCTCTCGAACTCTGACTCTCTCGGACTGACTACGCAGCCCTCTCTTGCTGGGGGTGTACTACACCCGCACTTCCCCAGTGCTTTAGCTCTCTGGCTGTAGCTTACTGTCCCAGAATGTCTACACAGCCCCAATATATCCCTGCCGAACCCATATGGGCGGCTGATGTTACACGAGAGGCACGCTCGTGTGGGCGTTCTCGGGAATCATGCTCATGTGGGCGTTTTTGAGACTCACGCTTATGTTGGCGTTCTCGAGAATCACGCTGATGTGGGTGGCTGATGTTACATGAGAATCACGCTGTCACGTAATTCAGACTTTCTCTGTTCATCTCGTTAGCTATGCTTGTCAGCCCCCACCGTGAACCCACGCATCTACTTTTACGTGACACTACACTTCTCACTGGTCAACATTCTCTCCCCCTCACTACTCGGGCAAATGTTGACACTGTTCACGGGACATCCCTTTAAACTCCCGGAAAGTACTATCATACCACTCTGTCCCTTCACACAATATTACACTCTCCCAAATCAGCACGCAACAAACACAAAATTAGCCCGAATTAGCGGAATTAGGGTATTGTGATTTTTATCGACACTGAGGCATGGACTTTGTTGTTCCTACCAAGAGTTTCTCTATTGCAATCATTAACTGTAAATATTCTGTCATTCTGAAAGAGTTCTAACCTCGCGTGGTGTGCTCCGAATAGTATGATCTTGGCCAGTCTGTAATCTGCCACACACACACATCAGTTGATGAAAGTGAAAGAGTAATGCAAGTAGCTGCTTGGAATTCATAGTTGTCGTGGACTTAAGAGCTTTTTGTCCCCATTCTGGTTTACAAGTGTTCTGATTCGGCACTATAAAATAGTCAACAACAACAACAACAACAAAATATTGATGTCTGGAACACTGTTACATATGCTCTCTCTTCTTCGAGCATAGTGATGAACCGAACTTCTTTAACAAAAGTTGTTCGGCTGTAAATTTTTTTTATTAAAGCTTGTTTGTAATTTTTGACAATACTGTAACACTTGTCTCTCTGTTTCTGTACTTTTCAATATTCTTCATTTTGTTCCCTCAACTCCGATATTCTGTAAACATCTTTGGCTATTTCTTATTGGATGTATGCACTGTTTATTAGAGTTTCTTCAACATTTCTGAGTTATTACACTCACTTGGAATATATTTCTCCAATTTTCTACATTTCTCTTCTGTCTCCCCCCTCCTCCTCAGTTGTTCTATGTATCTTTTAATTTTTTTTTTTTGTCATCATACTTTTAGATGATCTCTTTGCTTTCTTCAGTTGTTTGTTACTCTTATATTCATGTATTGCGATGTGTCATCTGATATTTTCATAGCTTCAATTATCTTAGGATCATATAGGTTGGTGGTTTCTTTTTTTCTTTTTTTTTTTCTGTACTTTTAGAGTTGAATGCAGTTATCTGGGTCACATGATCTCAAATCTTACTTTTTGTTTTAAGGTTTACAATGTCCTCTATCAGCATTTAAAATCTATGGTTAAGCAACAACGACGATGTGCATGCGTATTTCGTCCTTTTAAGGACACATTTTTTGTTGTTATTTTGAAGCCCCACCCTGGTTTTTGCCAGGAGCCGCAATATAGGCAGGTCATGAGTGTGGCCAATTGCCTGAACGCGGTTTCTGGGACCTCTCCACGGCGATCCTCATCCACATGGTGTGGCACTTTGTGTCATCGGGTGTTTATCGCGTGTGTGATGTCCTGGTGGGGTAGAAAGTCAGTCAGTCAGTCATCAACGAGGAGATCAAAATTAGAATTTTGAGAGCATGCATCTTCTCTGTAGCAACATACGGAATTGAGTTATGGACTATCTCCCAGTCCTTAAGAAAGAGAATAGGGGCTTTTAAGCAGAAATGCTATAGAATTATTTTCAGAATATCTTAAACGAAGAAGAGGAGAAACACTGACATCTTGAAGGATTTGTAAATCAAGGAAGTTTGGCCAATAAACAGCATCCTGTCTCTATAGCTGAAATATTTTGGTCATATCAAGCGCCACGAAAAAATAATAGCAGAAGGCATGGTACCAGAAAGAACGGGGCAGGACCGACGAACACGAAGATGGGCACAGGATATAATGTGACCCCTTGAGTATGAAAGTACGTTAGGCGGGAGGCAGAGCTGGCGAGAGACCGAGTTTCTTGCAGGCAGACCATGATGAGAGAGACTTTCTGCAAAGGACCTGCTACATGATGATTAGATGTCCTTTGTTTTATCATATCTATGCGCTGTTGACTGTTTGTCATCATTTTGTGTATTTTCAACAGAAAAACAATGCGCATTCTCTAGTTTGCTTATAGGCTAGAACTGTGTATTGTTGTAAACGAAGAGTTTGAAAATGCCTGTTTGGTCTTTTGGAATACTGGTCACCACTGATACCTAACACTATGACATCCTTGGCAAATACCACATTTCCTATTATTGTTGTTTTGTTCGTATTAATTTTTATTGTCTTGCAGGCTTACAGTTTTATTATCCACATTTGCCTGGACGAAAATTGAACCGTTGTTCTCTTTTGCATGCTAAAGCAGTGTGTAAAAAGAGCTAAAATGTTGGTTCTTCCACTTTATCTGGTCACACCATGTGACCAGTCGAAACGAGGCTGCTATGCAGGGATGCCAAGGCTGGGTTTTTTCCCCAAGATCTTGGTTTTTTTAGTTGCCGTCTTGGTTTCTTGGTTTTTATTTTGAAAATTATTGAAAATCTTGAGTTTTCAGAATTAATGATGAAAAAAACTACAATTAATAAATATTCTAACAAGAATAATGTGTGTACACATATCTATAATAGTTTTACCCGCAAATTATATTTTGGAATGTCCTACAAACACTTAAAATAAACTCAGTGTAATTAATGTAACAATACAAAGGTTAACTCCAGGGCTATTCAGGAAAAATGTAGCAGACCACCAAAGGAACAGATTTACGATCCCCAAGCAGTGTCCCTTAAGTAACAGATACTAGGGGCGGAAAAGCAAAATAGATTAAACCTGGGACTTTTGATCGTGAACTTTACAGAAGAAAGAAGGGACCTGACATTCAATTATTGAAGAAAGTTTGGGAGGCTTTTCCTCTCTTCTAGGGGTTATTGACCTGACATTGTAGCGTCTCCTTGGTTGAATTGAAAGAAAGCAGATTAGCAGAAACCAACTAAGGACTACTAGGGTTAAGTACCTTTAGTTAAGTTTTCACTAGTTTTTTTTTTTTTTTTTTTTTTTTTTTTTTTTTTTTTGCTGTGTTGTGGTTTGTTGAACTGTGCTATCAAAATTTACTCTGATTATAACCTTGTTGAATTCAAAATGAGTGAGCAGATTACACCATCGAAGAAAAGAAAATGGTATGCTCAGTGTTTCAAAGAGGAATGGCGGTATTGGTACCAATTGAGAAGCATAAAAGATGGCCTAAACTGTAAAATATGACATTTTATCCGCTTTTATGACTAATTTCACTCTTTTGCCTCACTCGTCAGCAACGGTTGAACGCATATTTTCCCTGATGATCTGTGTCAAAACTAAACAAACTAATTCTCTGAAAGCAGACACTGTAAAAGATCGAATTCTTGCAAGGCAAGCAATCACAAGAGGAAATAGCGACTGCACGACATGGACACCTAATAAAGAATTGCTAAAAGAATTGCAAAGTGGCGCAGTTAGTCAAAGATATTTAAACAGAATTAAAAAAAGAAGAGACGGTGACAATTGAAATTGGTGAAGAAGGAGAGCTGTTAGAGTAACAGTTTAATAAAGGTGGGTATATGTTCAGTTTCATAACTATAAAATACTTTTTGCACAGTGCTAGGTTTTTTATTTTATTTTTTGTTCATATCTTGGGTTTTCGTCAGCCCCATCTGGGTTTTTGACAAAAATCTCATTGGCAGCCCTGCTGCTATGACGTAAACTAGGTCGGTCAACTCAAGAAGATTATCTTCCCCTAAGCGTTTCTAAGTTAGTCGGATTTTCTTTTCATGAGCTTAGTTTTAAACCTTTTTAATTTAACGACACCAAGCTATTTGAACATAAATTGCATGCTAAATACTGAAAAATTGCTTGGTATTCCTAGTGGTTTGTGCGTCGTGAAATACTGTTTGAAAGAAATTATTCTGATCATTCTTTTCTTTGCAGATCTATCGAGCAAGGACAAGATGGCGGCCAACAATAGAGGTCTGGATGAACCACCAAACAGCCGTCTGTTCATTCTTTGTCCGAAAGGCACAACTGAACAGGATTTCCGCGATGCATTTGATAAATTTGGAACTATCGAGGATATTTGGATCATCAAAGATAAGCGAACAAACGAAGACCGAGGTAAAATGTTTATTCTTATTTAGTCCTAATTTTTTTTTTGCTCCCTGAACTCCCTCCCGCCCCACCATGGACCATGTAGATTGAAGATTCTGGGGCTCTCCTTTCACTTTCACCTTTGGACGGTAGCTGGACAGCTTAGGTCAGCTTAGTGGGAGTTCTCTCCCTTGGCCACATTGCAAACAAGGAGCGGAAAAGTCACGAATCAAAGAAGACTGAGGTCATCAGGGCTGCCAATGCTTGGTTGTGTCCCCCAGATCTAGGTTTTTTTTTGTCGCTGCGGGGAAATCTGGGGGTTTTTTGGGTTGGTTTTTGCCAATTTGTATGCTGTAATTACCGATAAATTTGCGTGGTTAGGGGTAGGATTAGGGTTAGGGGGAGGGTTAGGTTAAGCGTTAGATGTGACACTCTTGATGCCAGAGTTCCCTATAATCGCCCAAACAGTCGACGGACTGTGGATGCTACTGACACGGACAATTCGCCACCGATTGGGCACCAGCCGCGCGCTATTGCCGTCATATTTGACAGAATTCCAGTGGCGCAACTCCCACAAGCATCAGATTGTCGGCCAGTATTTGGAACTTCTACGTCAAAATTGTCACATCTAACCCTAACCCAAATCCTACGCAACCCTACACGCAACCGTATGATGATAGACACCCTACCCAACTCTACATGCAACCGTATGATGATAGGTAACCCCAGACGCAACCGTATGATGCCTACGCAACCCTACACACAACCAGTAATTATGTCTTTTGATTCGGGACTTTTCCGCTCCTTGTTTGCAATGCGGCCAAGGGAGAGAACTTCCACTAAGCCGTCCAGCTACCGTCCAAAGGTGAAAGGAGAGCCGATTCTGGGACCCCATTATGCAAGAAGAAAAATAGACCCACTGCTCCAAAATAAGCACTCTGTAAAATGCGACTAATGCAGGATTCGCTGTTTGAGTGCCTCTGGAATGGAAAGAATACCAGTAAACATGGTCCTAGTAAAGAGGAGCAGGGGCCGACTAACATGCAGTAGGACGAGTAGTATGAAGTTGAAGGCCCAGGTTCTCCTTCAAACTACGGCCGGTTAGTCGCAGTTCAGTCCCCTGGCTAGAGTGCAATTACGGAGTGGAGAAGGCACGAATCACAAAACAAAGTGCCGTCGACATGGCTGCTAGAGCTAGACCACGCGCTGCGACTCACATTAGCGACCGCGGTCTTGCGACGCAGACTTAGTGGCCGTAGATGTGACATCTGCGGATCTGTCTAACCCTAACCCTAGCCCAAAGCATACCCCTAACCCTAAACCAAACACTAACGTAACCCAAACCCTAGCCGTATGATGACAGCAGGGCACTGCACGCTGTCTATCGCCAACACACAGTAATTATGTCATTTGTTTCATTCCCTCTTTTCCACTCCGTAATTGCACTGCAGCCAAGGGACTGAGCTCTGACTAACTGGCCGTAGTTTAAAGGAGAGCCGAACACCCATTATTATGTGATATTTTTGGTAAGAAGCAAGTTAAACGAGCAGGGTTGCCAATGGGATTTTTCTCAAAATCCAAACTGAATTTAAAAAAAACCCAGGATTGTCAAATAGAACAGCTCTTCCTAGCCAGTTTCAGTCGTGACCATGACGGTCTCTTTCTGCGTTTCCAGTCACTTTAGGAATGAGGTAATGAAAGAGAGGATTAAATGGCTACAAGAGCTAAAGCTACAGGAACACTCATATTGGACAAGGGAGAAGACACAAGATTAGATGAAATAACAAGGGCAAGAATGTGTAAATGAGGAATTAAGTGTGATCAGTAAAACAGATCATGTTTAGCCAAGTTTCAATGGCGCCACAGCCACAGAGAACAGATTTTTGGGCACTATTTGCAACTTCTATGCCACTATTTTCAGATATAAAGGCCTCAATTATCGCTAAGTAGTCGATTTCGTCATTTTCGTTCCTCATTATTTTCGAGTTAAAAGTTTTTGAGGTGGACAAAACTTGCCCAACCTTCTGAATGTTTAAAATACCAGTATCTTAAATTTGTAAAAATACAGTTAAATACAAAAATCAGTGTACTGGATGATAAGGAACAATTTATTAATTTAATTAGATTTCATCCTTTATTATTGCAGTTTATTGCAATTAATCAGGATCATTATATTATGCTACTGCTTAATCTTTATGTATGTCTGATTCTATAAGGTAGAATTTAAAGTCTTTAGCACTGCCGAATATGCTCATGTCTTTAGAGTTGGCAGTAAATTGGCAACATTTTTATAGTAATAATTTTTTTTTTTTTTAATGGGTCCTTAAAACAGCTGAATTCCTCTTTTTAGAATTACTACTATTGTGAATGACTTCCCCTAATCTTCGTATCTTTTGGAGCTAGGTTAAGTGCATGCTATGACAGCAGTGGCCCTGAAATCCAGTGCCCCAGTTGTGGAAGACTTTTCTTAGCGGATCTGTCAGGTCCAGCTTGCTATCACCATAGGCTTTGATTTAGGTTTCGTTTGTGCTGTACTTTAACTGTTTTTCTGATTGTTTATTATTTTTTTTAACAGGAATTGTGTACATAAAATTTGCAAAGACATCAGAGGCAATGCAGGCAATGGAAGAAATGAATGGCAGAGCATTGCCTGGTACAAGCAAAGGTCTCAAGGTATGCTACAAATAGACTGCATAACTATTTTGCATTGATCATTTCTGTGTCAAGTTTGTTAAGAACAGCTTTCAGTGTGACTTGGTACATTTTTCTTGCATGCAAAGGCTAGGGAGAACTGTTATGGTAAATTATTTAATTTAATTGTCTTAGACAAAAGTAGCGAAATAGTGGGTTTTTGGGGGGTTATTATTTTAAAGCTCAGTGTGGGTCAGGGCTTTTCACCCAAGTTCACTCAGCGGCAAACATTTTAAAAATGGGTGTCGTCACAGGCCAGAGGCTTGAGCCCAAGCATAGAAAGATCATTGATATAGTACAGTTGACAGTGTGATCTGTGAGCCAGTTGATTAGCCCTAGTGTAGGTTATGGTGGTGGAACTGATAATCATTCTTCTCCCTGAAGTCTAATAATTTACACTAGGTTTCTAAACACATTCACCAATATTTTCACCATGGAGAAATTATTGACATTTAGAGAGATTTACAGTGTCTGGGTGATTTTTCAGCATGTTTGAGACAAGACAGGTAGATTTTTAATGTTGCAACTGACAACCACTATTTAAACTTCTCAATTTTTACTTAGAAAAGGGACAGAAGTATGGGAATGCACTGAGTGAATTTATCTCAGTTCCTGCTTAATTAATTCATTCACATAACACATTTATACATTTAAGTGTAAACTGTCAACATTTTGTGCACACCCCAACTGTACTTTATAACGCAGTGACCTCAGCAAACAACAAGCTACTGAAAATCCAATTGAGTCTCTGAAGATGTTGATAAACAAAAGAATATGTTGGACTTCATGGATACAAAAACAAACACTGAGGCTAACAGTGAAAAAAAAAGTTCCTGAAGGAAATAAAAGGAGACTAAAATATTTTGGCTTTTTTAAGATATAATGATCTTATTGAACAGAAAAGAAAAACCATCTGGAGGAAAATGTTATAAAGTGAGTCAGATACAAACAGTGGTACAGGTGGAAGGATAACATCAACATATGGATGAACAGTTGTCCCAAAAAGTGATTATCAAGAATGAAAGACAGGTTGTTGGAGATCCATTACTGCCACCCTTTATTGTAGTGACCACTGACAGTGTTAAATGTCTCTCTTGAGCAGATGTACATTGAATTAATAACATTTAGTGCAGTTTGGTTTTGCTGTATGCTTCTGTGAACATTAGAAGTCTTGTATTGAAATGTTTATGTGTGTGTTTTTTTTTTTTTTTTCAACTTTAAATTATTTTCTCTTGCATCAGCATGTAATTTTAATTTTCCCTTGGACTTAATTTTTTTTTTAACCAGAATTGATGTCGCTAAACATATATGTTCTCGGTGTCTGAATATTTCACAGGTGGTTGTTGCAAACAGCAAGCGAGATGGCTCAACTCGAGACCCAAGAGAGGATGAACGACTTGTGCGACTGTTTGTTATTATTCCAAAGAATTTCACAGAACAAGATCTGAGGGATGAGTTTTCTGTAAGCAGGCATATGTGTTTTCTCTCTTATGTTAGAAGTGATTTTAACACTTTTGTATTTCATAAAATTTTATTTATCTGTAATTATTAAATTATGTTCATGTCATCTGTTGAATTATCTCTTGAGTACATAAATTGTCAGTAAGCAGGTAATATCTGTTTTAACATTAAATAAGCACTCTTGGAAGTGATGAGCCTCAGTGATCCAGTGAGCTATGCCGGCAGGAACGTATGTTCTTGGGAGGGTCACCTAAGCCAGACAGGTCATTGGTGAGGAAACAGACTAAAAATGGTCTTCTGGTCCTCCAGGCTCGGTACAGTGTTGACAGCTTTGCTCTGTGAAAAAGACTACAATGTTACAGAAACTTCAAGAGGAAATAGGGGCTCCAAATGTCCAACGGTCTTGGAGCAGAGTCTTTCTGTCAGTATGCACAACATGGGTAAAAGCCGAAGGGAAGCCTGTGATGGGAAAACAAGTGTACTTGGCATCAGAACCAAATTAGGAATTGGTTTCTGGAATGTAAGAACCATGTTTGGAGCAGCTTAAACTGGCCAAGTAATTTAAAAAATGCTGAACTATAAACTGTATATTCTAGGAATCAGTAAAAGCAGGGTGACAGGTTTTGAATAATCCACGACATACATGAGAAACCATAAAATACTCTGGAAGAGATAACCTACATTCTTCAGGCGTGCCACTCATTTTAAAGAAAGGTGTTCATATACATCTCATAGAGTGGCATTCAGTTAACGTAAGAATTATGACAGCATAATTCAATGGGAAACATGCCAAACTTACTATCATCCAGTGCTGCGCACCAACTAATGAAGACAAAGATAAAGAAACATTCTTTAGGAGATTGCAGGAGGTAGTAGATAAAGTACCAGCCCATGATATTCTATGCATTATGGGAGATCTCAATGCAAAAGTTGGTACCGACAACTTTAACAGAGAACTGTCCGTAGGAAAGCAAAAATGTGGTACAATTAATGACAGCGGAGAAAGACTGAGCGACTTCTACACAGCGAATGGGCTTGTTAAAGGAGGACCACTATTTCCTCACAGGAACGTACACAAATTTACATGGATATTCCCAAATGGAAGAGATGTAAACCAGGTTGACAATTTCACTCGTTGTGCGTGTCAAAAGGGAAGCAGATGTGGGTTGCGATCACCATCTCATCGTTGCATTTCTACGGCTGGAATGCAAGAAAGTGCACACACAAGCTAGGACCCAGACAAAACTCTGCAATATCAGCCTATTAGGAGAAAAAGACATTGCCACTAAATTTATAGTGGAAATAAAGTTTTAACTGCTGGGTTCTTGTGCAGATTATCCATTATACATTTCAATGGGCAAACGGTTGGCTTGGTGGTGCCTATCTCCTCTTTAAGTATATGCATCTCTTTCTACATGTTTATATTCTCCTCGCACTGACGACCATTTCCTAATAAATGTCTTTCAGGGGTATGTGCAACCATGCACAGTAAGAGTAGGTTAAGTAGGTCACCACACTTGGTCGTAATTGTTCCTTTATGTAACAGTTCTTCTACGCCATCAGCACTGTCACTCTGGGAATTTAAACACACTAGTACACAAGTGAATATTTATTGGCGACTAAGCGCCTCCCAAAAGTAAAAAAAAAAAAACCAAGAAAGGAATATCTCCTAACAAACTGATAATTTATCAAATTTCTTGTATTAAAAGACAAACAGTCACTCTTGAACAAAGCTAGAGCCACTTTTGGAAGAATGAGGCGAATCTGGAAATCCAACATTTACTGCAGAGAAACAAAACTCTGACTGTACAAGAGCATTATTTTGCCAGTTCTTCTTTATGGAGCAGAATGCTGGAGAATGACAAAAAAGGATGCGCACAAACTAATCCACTTTCCACCACATATGTCTACATAGCATTGTCAAAATTTTCTGGTCAGATACAATTTTAAACACTTGACTACTTCAAGTCACAAATCAAGAAACTTAGATAGTATGATAACAAAGAGAAGATGGAAATGGCTTGGCCATGTCATGAGAATGAATCCTGATTTACCTGCCAAAACAGCTCTCACTTGGTCACCAGAGGGAGAGAGAAAGAAGGGGCATCCAAAAACAACAATGAGACGAACGATGGAAAGCGAACTGAATGCTGCATCTCTGACATGGAAAACTGCATTGAAGATTGCACAGGACAGGAAAACATGGAAAGTCCTCTATGAAGCCTCATGTGCCACTAGGCATAACGAGAACTGATGACTGATGATGATGATACTGTTGTCAAACTTGTAAACGTTTTACGACAGTTTTTTCTTTGCACATTTATGAACTGCTCTTTAGTCAATTTTTTTTTTTTTTAAGATAGTATCTTTTCCTGAATCTCCAAGATTGCACAGGACAGGAAAGCATTGAAAGCCCTATCTGAAGCCTCATGTGCCACTTGGTTAAAAGAATTGATGATGACTTGAAAGTGATTCATTTATTTTTAGAAGTTGTTGCTGCCACTTTGAAGTTATGTACTGTGCATGCTTACATGGCAGTCATAACACCATACAAGAGGCAAAGGTTAAAGGCAAACATAGGGTAGACAGTGATGAGATAACATCAAGACTTACAACAGTCTTAGAGAATGCATATTCAGGGCAAAAGACAGAGCCTATTCACTATCTGTTGATGGTATGTTTGTGGTCTTGGTACAGCATCACTGGATGATTTTCTAGATCAGCGGTTCTCAACCTGCGGGTCGGGGCCCCTTTTTTAGGTCGAACGACTCTTTCACAGGGGTCGCTTAAGACTATCGGAAAACATATATTTATTGAAGTTATGAAGGAAAATAATTGTTTTGGCGTCGCCACAACTGTCTTAAATGGCCGCAGCGTTAGGAAGGTTGACAGCCACTGGTCTAGATGATCCTCGAGAAGGATGTCCGTGCATTCACTGTTAACACAGGCGGTGAAGACTGCACCTGATTATGTGGACAGAATATTAAACTGTAGACCTTTATGGGTTTTGTGTGTATGTACCTTGCTGATTGTTACTTCCTGTATGTTTATATATATATTTTGATTGCATTTCAGAAATATGGAGACGTGGAATCTGTGACTGTGTTAAAGGACCGTAGTTCTGGAGAAAACAAAGGTTTCGGCTATGTTCGTTTTTTCAAGCCATTGCATGCTGCTTTGGCATATGAAAATTGTGACACATGTAAGTCGACTTTCATGTATAATTGAGAATAGATTTGAATTGTTGAAAACATCAGCACCTTAAGGTTTATCAGTGAACATTTGCTGATGTTCACATCCCAGCTCAGGGTAGAGGAGGAAGGATCCTGATATAAAAGGAATACATTCTGCGGAAACTTGTTTTAAAAAGACAGTAATCCATTGAAGTTTCCCCCTTAAAGAAAAATCCCTTAAAAACAAAATAACTATTTGACAAAAATCACTGATACATTTTTAAATAAAATATGTTTCTACATTAAAAACAAAAATTCAAAATATGTTTAGGGAGTAATTAATAAAACGTGAACAGAGTGAAGCATTAAATGGAATACATTCCCAGGGCCTTAAACAATGCATCAGATGTTCCATACTGTGGCCCCGTTAGAAATCTAACTCTAATGCCATGGGCCCATTATGACGTCAGAAAAGCTTTTAAAAGCCGTTGTTCACAAGAAACAATTACGTGAATGACATTGCGATTTTTGTCAGTGTATTTATATCCTGACCTTCCGAGTGCTGCATAGATGCACATGCAACCAAAAATTGTGCTTCTTAGATTCTCGTTACTGCTGCCATGCAGAGCAAGCAGCATTAATAGGATTGGGTCATGGATGGAAATGCCTGGTTCACAGCTTTTCGGGGCAAAAGGTTTAAGATGTTTTGGGTGACATTTGGAAATCATGATTTTTTTTTAAATGATGTTGTTAGACATAAACATTGTAAGATGAGATACTACCCCTTATGACATTTGCTGCTTGAAACAGATCATCTTTTTGTGTGCTGTGATGTCAGTTCTTTAATGAGTCAACAGTCTTTTTGCATATATGTACGTGTGTGTGTATAATTTGGCGTGGTTTTAATTGATAACGTCATGCAGCGTGTGTAGGACCAACTGAAAACAGCAGTTGGCCAAACATTCTTTTCGGCTATTCCAGTAGTGAGGTACAAGACCACTCTTATCCCAACCCCACCTATCAAACAGCTCGTTTCTCCATACACCAAATCAAGTTGTATGTACCAATTTATATGTAAGTGCCAGTTGACTTACATTGGTCGAACGGAGAGACAGCTTGGAAATAGAATGGCAGAGAACATACCCAAATGGCTACATACACAGTTCAGTGATTCTTCAATGGTGTCGAGACGAGTCAAGAGGAAAGAGCCCGCTTCTTTCATAGGACATCATCTACTTAATTCAGGACACGTAATTGACACATGCAGTGCTTTCCATGTGGTTTACCAAACTCCGAACAGGAGAGTGTTGAGAATGGCTGAAGCTTTAACAATTAAAATAGCAACCCCCTCCTTTGTAAGCATACATAATTTATTGTAAATTTGAAGTTACCCCAGGTAAGTCTTGTGACTACGATGAGCTTCCGGCGGCAACAAACACACACACACACGATGTGTCGAAAAAAACTATTCACATTTCAGTTGGATTTATTCAGTTTTGTTCTTGGTTTTATGTTTATGTATCTCTGTAGTAACGCACCTGACGAGATACAGCGAAATATGCCTGGCAGTAAATTGTGCAATGTATTGTTTGTGTCCGCAATATTTAAAGTGGCTTTAATTTTTGTAATTTTAGAAAAAATTGGCTTTCTTGCATCTGTCACATGCTACTCTCTCACCATATGGGTTCTGTGGTCACAGTTGTTGGCTGCTCTTTGAAAATCATTTTTAAAAGGCAACTGGGGATTTGCTGAATTATGTTTTGGTCCAAGAAGCATGGATTTCACAGCCTAGCTGTAACCCACTACACACAGTGCCTGCTGTCCCTTTAAGGCTAACACAAAAAAAGTAGTAACACCACAGTCAGTTCTGAGTAGTAGTTACAGATTCACAAATCATAGCTTATTTCGTATTGCATCATGTATGTTTGTTTTCCTACAACAGCATTTAGACCCAAGTTTGCAGAGCCACAGCGCTCTAGAGATGAAAGAGATGAAATTGAGAATCATGGATTCACTTTCCCAGGCCCCGCACCAGGAGCTGGTAAGTTTGTATTTCTGTCTCTGCTGACTCGAGCAGTACTTTGATTCATTCAAAGTAGCAGTTTATTTTGTATACAGAGCAGGTTTTAAAGCCATAGCTTTCTAGAATATTCACCAGGTGCCTTTTGAGATGTCAAAATTTTCACTTACATTTTATTTGCTTTTCTCTTTGTTAGTTGTCATATCAGGTTATTTATATTTAGTCTGAAAAATGATGTAACTTTTCTGAACACTCCAGTTCTAGATGATAGCTCCTGGGTTTGTTGGATTATCTTGTGTTGATTTTTCCATTAACTTCCACATTCTTGTGGGTGGATTTAGACCAGCATTTGTACCATTTTTGTGTATGAGGCAAATGATTGCCCTTCTGTTTTTGTGTGCACTGTTGTCTGCCTTATTCTTGTAGATACAGTAAAACCTTGTTAACACAAACTCACTTGATTGGTCTCTGGTTTGCACACATTTTGTGTGTGTTTAACATGGACTTATTTTTTGGTTCCTTGGAATTTGTGTCGCCAAGGTTTCACTGTAGCTGGTTCCATTGATTGGGTTTGATGCAGTTTTATGTGTTGGTCATCCTGCCTTTGTCTGTCATTGTAGTATTATAAGCTTTCAACTAGTCTCTATACCAAACTGCTCTTTTCTTCAGACTCATTGTCCTTTCCATATTATTTGTGTTTACTTTTAGGTCTGTTTTGATCTTGTTTTCCCTGTGGGTTTCCAGTAAAAGCGTGTCCTCTAGGAAATGTGTCACTGCTGTTATTGCCAGGCTTTTTTTTTTAAAAATCACAGGTAACAAAAGTCATACAAGATATTGAATAAAAACACATAATTATTGTGGAAACATTTCACAGACATTACTGCCTGTTTACTTGTGAGATTTTTACTCCCCCCCCCCCCCCCCCCCCCCCCCCCCCCATTAAAAAAATTTTTTTAAATTTTTTATATCCAATTTGTGTGCTTTAAAAGTAACTTCACATAGAGACATTTGTAATCAGGTTGACAAACAGCAAGAAGTGTTACAGTTAACTGCCAGAGAAGTTCACACTGTGAACAGCTATCATTGATTAAGAAAATAGTGAGGTACTAGATAGTGGAGTAACTTTGGTGAACAGAGATCAAATAACTTTTAATATACACTTAATTGCAGTATATTATATTAAGATACATTTCGGCTATCTTCCGAATAATGGTCCCAAATTATCGAGGCCAAAAATATACCCTAGCAGGACCTCAGTCACATGTCAGTTGCGGACTTCCGCCACTGCCAAGAGTATCTCCCACTAATTTGCTTTGTTAGTATGCCAGTAAATTGTATGGCTGCCTTGTTTGAAATGTTACTGAAAATGCTCTGTCTATTTTCAAGGTCAGAAGCGATTGTACGAAGATGATCTGCATTCTGGTTACTATGCCCCAGAAGCTGCTTTTCCAGGTATGGCTGACGGTTTATTTATTTTAATTTTAGAACGATGCTGTTGTGTCCGTCCAAATTTTGCATGCGTAATCTGGATATTGGAATTGACTACTGTTATATCATGCATTATTTGTGGCTTTATTTATGTGATCTTAAACTTTTTGTATGTTTTGAAAGCAATGATTTTAATCTTTTTTTTTTATATGAATTTTGGAATAAGAGTACTTGTCGTTTATTAGATACATTTGAGTACCTTAGGCAACTCATATAACTGACAATGATTGTTCGGGGAGAAACAGGAAATATTACATATTACAGCTATAAGGAGGATAAATTGTTCTTTGATAATGTTATGAGGAGAGTCATTGAAGAATATTATAATCACTGCAAGGGTCAGCAGTAGCACAGTTAGGCTGAAAAATGACCCTGAAGGTGGCAAGGAGAAAATAGCATCAGCAGCTGTAGTCTGGAATACCATTGACTTCGATCAGTGGAGGTGAACACCTGTTTCCCATGGCAAGGCATGTGATAGTCATTTTAAGCTGTCAAAACCTCAGACTAATTTTTTTTTAAATACCTTTTATCTAGAACCTACTAATTTATTATCTCGGGTACAGTAGAATTTGCTGTTTTGAAACCGCCACTAGCATAGCTCAAAGAACAGCTTATTGGCCTTTTTATTGTTTAAGGAAAAAGAAAATTTAAAAAAAGTAATTTGGTTAGAATGTCTGCTTCACATATAGTATCATTTCTGATTTGAGAAATTTTCTTTCTCCCCCTTTAGTCTCGGGAATCTCGGCAGTCGCTACACTGCCATCAGTATAGTATTTCTAGTCATAAAGAGAAACAATCAGCCTCTACTACAGTGCACTGTTGTTAAGGAAAGAACGGTCCCTTTCACTAATGATACAGATAGCTTGTTAAATATATTCTGCAAAATCCTGAGTTACGGTTTTACTCTACATTATCATCATCATAGGTCCTTAACAGAACATCGCTCGTACCACACCAAATCTAAACTAAGTCGATCTCTTGTAAGTTTTCCTGCCCAGTGTGTCTCATATTTCTTGTGTCCCTCTTGATGCTGGTCGCCCCACCAATTTTGCCGCGTACCTGCCTTCCACTAATGTTCTTTTCAGTCCACCATGGATTTGTTATTGCAGAAGTATTTTAGTTTCTGAGACAAGATGTTTACAAGTCTAATGATTTTTTTTAAAGGATGTCATTCTTTTTTTGTTTGTTTATGGTATTCTAAATTTAACATTTCAGCTCATTTTCTTCATTTATGTTTACGAGTAATACACAGCTAACATCTGTATGGTGCTACAGGAAATATACATGCTGTCAACATTTTTGTTTGTTTTGGTTTTAAATTAATAACATTTGCTGATTTTCTTCTTAGCCATAGATGTTTGTTATGGTGCTATGTCATGTCGTCAAACATTTTTGTTTGTTTTACCGTTGCATAGATGTTTGGTCGGTCCGGCCGTCGGCATTATGGCCATCCACTGTTTTAACTGTTGTTGAACAGTCTCTATTATTGTTGATTAACCATATTTCATACTGTATTACAGATATTGAGCTGTAAATTTACAGATACATTTTTTGTCAGCAGGTAAAGGCCTTCCACAGCAGTTTGCTGGGGCTGGACCTATGGAGATGTTGGCTGAATATCCAGCAGTGAGCACTTGTTCCCGTCTTTACATTCAAGCTCCTATTGGATTAACACAGGGCTACCTTGCTAGGCTCTTCAATCTTGTTCCTGGAATGGAATACTGTGACTTGAATGAAACAACAGGTGAGGATTAAAAGGTTTTAATGAAAAGAAAGAAAACAATTAGAAAGGCTTCTAATACCTTTAAATTAAAAAAAAATCAGAATGTTGTGGTGGGCCCATATTCTACTGGCTGAATATTTCCTGACGAATGGTGTGATCATTACATTGCCAGTCGCCTTTTCTCTCCGTAGCTTTCCTGATATTCCTTTCCTGAGGCCAACTTATCTTAAAACAAAAAATATCTTGAAGAGAATTTTAACTCGGGATTACCAAAATAAGTCAGCACCATTTAGACGTAGACTGGATGCAGTTTTCTGCCAGTTAGGTTTTATATTTTAAAAAAAGGGTTTTATGTGTCTACACATTGCAGACATTAAAATCCCTTTCACAACTGTAAAGATTAATATGTAATTCTTAGGAAGGCTAACCTGGGCAGCAAATGTCTGGAGAAGTCAGATGTGTCTGCCAGAAAACACAAATATAAGTGCCAAGCTGTAAATGGCACAGTGCAACTATGTCCTTGAATAAACACAGAACTACTACTACTACAACTACTTCAGCTTGAATAAGGCACACAAGAACTACCTCTAAGTAAATTACATTTTTTTGGAAAATATAAAAAAAATAGTTACAAAAATGAGGTGCATTGATTAACTATTGTTGTAACTGCTTTATTGTAATGTTTATTTCATGTTAGATCTAATACTATAATCGACAAGCTTTAATTTTTCTTTCTTATTAAACCTGCTGAAGATGATAGGTAAATGAGTAATCTAAATGTGTAAAAACATGAACTAAAATTATTACTAATAAAGGCAAACATTCATGAACTGGTGCCTATGCAGAGTAGAGGGAATGTAATGTATGATAGTCACTGGTGTGGAAACAAAGTTCCAGTGAATCAAAAGGGGGAGAAAAGAGACTGGGGCTGGAAAGGATAATTAGTAAAATCATGTGTATCCTTTACCTGAGCTGTAGAACCAAGCTCAGCATCTGTTTAATAGGCAGTTTTAGATTCAATGGGCAGAAGATGAAGAAGTTTGCCATTTCTTTCTAGATGGTCAGCCCTTGATACCAAAGTTGAAATCAACCCATAACGCTCTCCTGCCAAATCACATACAACAGGAAACAAACTGGATATATCAATGTTACGAAACGGGTTCATAATGCCTAAGCCACAGATGCTGACACTTAGGCTGTATGACGAGTTAACCGGATAATAATATAACTAGAATGTCTTTAGACTTGAACCCTCAGTGTCGTAGAAATAAAGGCAAACCAAAAAATACGTGGTGTAGGGAATTATAAAGTTAAAAAAAGAATGGGACTGAGCTGCGTGTGTTAGCAAAGGATAGGGCAACATGGCGGGAGTTGTTTGATGGACCTATACTCCATTGTTGGGTGAGGCACAGAAGTAGAAGAATGAATGTGTTTCATTACATTGTGTGCAAATGTCAGATCTGTTTTTTTTTTTTTTTTTTTTCATTTCAGGTATTGCTTATGCTAGATACACTAGTCCTCAGTGTGCTGCCTATGCCAGAGACAAGCTGAACGGGTTTGAGTACCCTCTGGGGAGTGCTTTGCATGTGCAGTTGGCAGATGATTGTCCAGTGCATATGGATACAAGTGGATATGGGCCATATGCTGGGTGCGTACTTTTGTTGTAAGAAGCCAGGGGTGTGTAAAGTACTGCTGAGGAGAGTAGAGCAGGGCTGTTTACTACATTAAGAGATAACATTTGCTTACATTCTTAAACTTTATTTTTTCCTTCTCTGTAACTTTAAGACAGTTAAATGTTATCAGAATTGTATAGTTGCTAGTGGTGATTCAACCTTATGTTGCAATGACATAGGTAGGATCCACTGTCAGTAAAATGGAACTATCCTCATCCTATTCCTTGATGCTAGATCCCTACTCAGGGTAGAACCCATACCTTTTCTGATTGGCAATTTTTAATTCTTTCTTTTCTGAAGTAGCTTGTAGCTTTTGCCAAGAGAATTGATAGCCTGTCAGTTGTTGATGTTCCAATTTTTACATTTCTATGTACATCAAAAAGTAAATATAATAATTTGAATAGATCTCTAAAATACCTACGGTATAACGATAAATGATAAGATTAGAGAATAGACGTTCTTTTCGTACAGGACTTTTAACTTTTTTTCAAATACTTGATATTTTATTTCATGCAGTTTAGAGAAAGATTTTTTTCTCACAGCTTTCTCAGAATTAAAGAGATTGGGCCTCAGTACATAATATTCCCCTAGACTAACAGAGGATTCACATATACTGTAACCCACCTCCATTTGTAAAGATGGCATTAAACAAATGGATATATTGTCTTTACTATTTCTTTCTTCTTTTCAGTAATTTTGGTGGGGGCTATGCTAATCCGCCCGTCTCCCCCATGGAGAATATGGATATCAGACAGAAGGTAATGATCATTTTAATAGTACTTGGACAACTTTTGTAAATGAAATAACACACTGCTGTAGATGCCCACCACTGCTGGCAAATCAGATCAGCCTGTAAATATAAATGCCAAATATATGGGGGGGGGGCTACTGTATAATGGTTATTGCTCGTATGCTAGCCGGAGGGTCTTGCAGTGTGAAACCTGAAATGAGTCATTTGCAAAGTCTAAAATGGGTACCAGCCCTGGAAAGTAAAACCACTGGCGTGGTTTTGACCACATAACCCATTGAGTGGTGCTGGTTTACAAATCTAGAAATATATCTAATGTGCCAGCGGCAGGGGAAAAAGTCCTCTAAGTATCACATAATGGTTAAAATGCCTGCCAGTAAGGGTAATTAACTGGGTGATGACCAGCTTTATTTTATAAGTACAGGGTTGACCTTTTGTAAAAGCAAATGCCAGGAAGTTGTCAGGAAAGGGAAGGTGGTTAGGTAAAGAACTGTAATGAGCAAATATGTATACAGATTTAACTTGAATATGTTGTCATTTACTTGATTTGTTGAATTGCAACAGCCGAGTAATTTATTTAGTTTGTGATGGGAATAGCAAAGCAAGTGGGTGAATGTAATAAGAGTATCGGTTATAAAATATGCAATGGGGTCCATAAGAAGAAAGATGTATTCAGGTCTGTATGCCTCATCTAAAAGTTAATGTTTACCAACAATAGACTTTCTAATTTTTGAAAGAAATGGCTGCACAGTACATACATAGCCAGGCTGTGACAATAGTCGTCTGACTTAGCTACTGCTGTTAAAGGAGATGGGAAGGAATCGATTCTCACAGATGAAATTGTAGCCGTATGTATATATGTAACATCCTTTAAAGAAATTTTGTATGAAATTACCTTTATTCTCATTTTTTTTTCTGTTTTCTGCTTTATTTGTATATATTCTTCATGGGTTTCTACCTTTGTTCATCATGCTGTATCTGCAGTCTCACCTTTGTTGACTTTTACGCCGACATAATTGTCATTGAATAAATGATGGATTGGCAGTTTGTCTTGCCTGTCCCCCTACTTTTCTGCTTACTTACCTACTGTCTTTCTTCAACAGGCAGCTATGATACTGGAAAAAGCTGGCATCAATCCACAAAACCTTCTGAACCTAGCTGGGGCTGGTGCAGTTGGTTCAGTTGGAGATGGTCGCAGAGAGCGTGTGGCATACTCCAGCATTCCTCTTCCACCACCACAGCCCACGGTACCTGAGGATGGAAGAAACATGGCACAAAGGCTGTTCATTGTTTGCCAGCCTTCTGGGGTATCTGAACGAGTACTCAAGGATGCATTCTGCAGATTTGGAAACTTGATTGATGTTTATCTCTTGTCAGGTAGGGAACCTATTTTAGCAGAAGGGAGCAGTTACAGTGTTATTAATCACCTGTATATCCACATACAGTCATTTTTTGTGTTATTTTCAAAATGACCTTGGGTGTCAGGTTGACCTAGCCTGAAATGGGTACCAGCTAAAGTCTTAGGAGGTAAAGATTGCCGGTGTGATGTTGACTGCATTACACCCTGAGTGTCATTTGGTCTATAAAATGTAGGTCATACCCAATATGCTTGAAAGCAAGGACAAGGGCGCTTTAACATCCACTTATTCATATATACCCAGTGCAAGGTAGGTAACTCAAATACACATAGTGAAAGGCAGGTGCATGTTTGTGCAGACAGTAATGAAAACCTATGTAGAAGTGCTTCAAAGATATGGTTTTAAAGGTGATTGATAAGAACACCTTAAACAGATTTATAAGCTTATTGAAAGAAATTAACTCACGGAGAGAGCTAATTATCTGCATCAGAAGGAAACAATCTACATACTTAAGCCACATCGCTTAATAAGAAAAAAACTAGAATACATTCTAATATGGGACATTTGGAAGAGAGGCAGAGTGAGACCTAGAGAAAATATTGCATGGCAGTTTGGCTTCATATCATGGCAAAGAGGATCATCTGTGTCAGAAATAATTGACAAGTATATGACATAGAAAGCCATAGACAGAAAGTATGAAAGCTGTATGACATTAACTGTGAAAAGTAAATAAGGTCACGTGTTTGCTCAGGATTTTCTCTGGCGCAGCAGTTTCATGCATCTGCACAGGGTCTTTCCTTTAGTTTTTGTGTGTTGTTGTAAAGATTACTGTTTTATTTCACAGCATCCTAAAGATTCCAAAGTGATTATACAACATAAGATCGAGATGTACTGGTTCCGTATTTAGTCATTTTATTTTCTGAAAGGCCAAAGCTGACAAAGGGCATACAGATGTTAAAAAAATTAATAGAACTGACAGGCTTGTTGGAATCTTGTGGAAAGTGAATGAGCAGTAGGATGTATCTTTAAAAAAACGATGAATCAAATTATAACTGCACTTGCTCAGATATAGACAAACATGCAGAAAGAGCAGTGTATTGCAAGAAGTATTACTTATGACAGTCACTATGACAAAAATGTTTGTAATCACCTGAGGTTGATTATACACTGTTTTAAAAAAAGGAAGCGCATAGTTAAATATAGTGCATTTTTATTCAGTTAATGGGAAAGCCTGTGTGCCAAAAACTATCAGTGACCCTGATGCAGAAGAACTGTCAGTTGATTGTGTGAACCTTAAGGTATTGTTATATGCAATTTGAATGATTTAACTTATTGAGTTACAATGAAAGAGAATAGGGGCTTTTGAGCTGAAATGCTATAGAAAGATTCTCAGAATATCTTGGACAAAGAAGATGAGAAATATTGACGTCTTAAAAGATCTGAACATCAAGGAAGATTGGCTAATAAACAGCATCCTTTCTCGAAAGCTGAATTATTTTGGTCATATCAAGCGCCGCGGCGGATTGGAAAAAAATTATAGCAGAAGGCATGGTACCAGGAAGGAGGGGCAGAGGCCGACCGACACGAAGATGGGCACAGGATATGACTCCTTGAGTGTGAAAGTTCATGAGGCGGGAGAACTGGCAAGAGACCGAGTTTCTTATAGGCAGACTGTGATGAGAGCGATGTTCTGCAAAAGACCTGCTACATGATAATGATGAGTTACAATGATTTTGAATGTTAAAATTGTGTACTTTTCAGTAGCTATGCATTTCTTTTTTGCTTAACAAAAATATATGTATATATAAACATTTATGTTATCTAAAATGTTGTACAGGCATGACAACCAAGGCCACATGGCATGGACCCGAAGAAGAAAGTACATTCTAAGAAACTTTTAAATTATATTTTAAACCGTTCCTTTGCACTTTCATTATGACTCACTTTAATATTTTTGTTTTGAATGCCAGGTCGTAATTATGGCTATGCGAAGTATGCCTCAAAGGATTGTGCAATGAGGGCCATTGAGACCCTTCACGGGCAAACATTGGCGGGGCAGAAAATGAAAGTTCTGGAAGCAGAGCCACCAAAAGCCCACCCTGTTCATGGAATGCAAGGCGATGAGGGCCCATCCAAGAAGCAGAGGCTTTAGAGATGTGAGGTAAGATTTGATGTGTGTGCAGCTTGTACATTATTTTCCCGCTTCAGCTTCATTGTTTTTTATATACTGTGTATTAAATATTTTTTTCTCTAACAAAATTTTTTTTAAATAACAAATATTAGTTTGTTATTAGCATACTCTGTGTTTCTCATCTGCCGAATTCCGATTGTTTAAGATTAGGGCTCAGAGACCTTGTAGGCTCTCCCGACTGGGTGGGGGCTGAACTATTTTTGGAGGTCCTCTGTTGTTTTCTATACTTTAAACCTTTTTTTGAGAATGTTGCCTACTCCTTTGTTCCGTGGTTGCTGTTTGTTCTCCACATCCTATTTTTGTTTTTCATATTCTCTTAGCTTTTTTTCCCCATTGTTCTCTTTTTTCCCCATTGAGCTTTAGGTCACTGTCACTCCATCTTATTACCTTTTTCTGCTTTTAAAGTTTTTTTTTTTTTTTCTGCTTGTTTATCTTTGCTGGCTCTTAATGCATTAGTCTGTCTTATGCTGTATTGGTAGGATTTCTATCTGGCTGTTATATTTGCTCTGTCAAGGCAATGCCTCGCTGGATATTCTGTTGTAGTTCCCTCCTTACAACATTTTATTGTTCTCTTCATTGATGCTGGCAGGTCATATTTGTTGGACTAAAGTCTTGTTCCTTGAATCATATGAGAATTTTAAAATTGTATTTGCACTGCTGTATGTGTAAATGGTTATTTAAAACAAATTATCTCTACTGGGTTGATGATATTTTTGCCCTAGGGACCTGAAGAAACTTTTAAAACTTATCTGTTGTTTTAAAGCTAGAATATATATATTTGTAAAGTATCTTCTGAATACCACACAGCTAGACATTATTATGGTGAGTTTGATTCAGGTATATTTCATGCATCATTTTTTTTTCATAAGATAATAGTTTTCAAAAACAGAATGTTTTCTTCAAATTGTCCACATTGGATTATGACACAAAACTCAAGGTCTAGAGCAAGACTAAAGTTCGGAAGTGGTTGACCAACTAGAATTTCCCGTACAGCTAGTGAATGCAAAAAAGAAAAATAAGAAAAGTGTCACTTTTATTAAAAGTAGCTGAGGCGCTCTCGTGTCTGTCTTAGAATTCTCAAATCATAAAATGTTATCACATGTGCTTCTGATATCTAAATTAGATGCCTAGTCCTCCCAAAGGTCAGCAAAGAGGAGTTTGTACCCCCCAAAAATCCTTCTACCATTTAAAATTCAAAAGAGTAAGCATCAGGTTGATCTTTGGAAAACATAATTTGAGTAAGGAAACTTGGCACAGGTGCATAGAGTCCATTTCCTTAGGTGGAATATGTCTAGTAAATCTTACTCAGATGCATGCTGAAGCTAGGGGTTCTGAGTTAGTGATGTTCATACTAGACATGGCACATTTCCCTCAAAATATGTACAGAGGAGGAGGCTAAAAAAATTCCTAAATTGTAAGTAAATTGCAACATTTAGTGTGAGATTCCGTGTGTGGGTTCCAAGGTTTTTTTTTCTCGGGAAAAGGACAGACCCGCTGTTTCCCTAACAAGCATATCATAAATGTGACTGAGTACTTATGGGTGTTTCCTTTTAAGTGGGAGTGCATCTGCCTGAGAGGTACGGAACCAGCAGTCTGCACACAAAGCTCAGATTCTGGAACAAGACAAAAGTCCCGAAGTGGACGAACAGCCGGAACTGTCTGCCAAGAGTTTACAGACAGTATATGCAGACATGATTTGTTGAGATCTGTGGGTTTTTTCTGAAGGCCTGTGCTGTGATGGCAATGTAGTTATTGAAGTGATATTCCACTATAGTGGTCACAGACTTAAATCCACACAGCAACAGCATTTCCTTCTACTAATTGAACTAGCCTTTTTATATATGGATGCTTCAGGGTCAGTTTGGTCTTGTTTTAACGGGAACCAATAATTTTTCTGGAGAGAAAGGTGGTTGATTATCTCATTATTATACAATGAACTGGTTAATGCTGCGAATCACCATCACTTGTCATTGACATCATCTGTGCTAGTTAATCTCTGAACTGTACATAAAGCACCCAACTGTCCAGAAACATCCAAGATATAATGCGATTTTTACTATACAGTGGTCATTAAATGTACAGGATGTACATACGCGGTGTTGTTAGTTGAAAAGATTATGCTACAGCATGTACACTAAGTGTCAGTATTAATTTAACATGACCCAGTGTGGGTTCCTAGGTCTCCTTATGGAGGGGAAGAGAGAGGCAAGGAACCAACAATCTGATTACAGATAAGTAACATTCAAGTTCTGGAACAGGACCTAAGTCCAGAAAGGGATGAACAGTCAGAACTTTGCGCTGGAGTTTACAGCTGGTGAACACAAAGAATAAATGTTATACATAATGTATACAATTTAGCAGTAATAAAAACAAATACCAGAACGTGTATGCTAGTTAACAGTATTAACTGAACATGCTATACAACAGTGTAAAGTATTCATTGAACAAAGTTCACAACTAATGGAAACTTCTCTTGTTCTCCTTGGTATGTAGATAACCTTGATTATATCTCTGTGTTGGTTCCGGGGCCCTGTGGTGGGTGAAGACAAGAATAGACCCACTGCCTGCCCAAAAGCATGTCGTAAGAGTCGACTAATTGGGAGTTTTCTTCGAAGTCAGAGTACAGGGAATGAACAGTTTGTATGCAAAATGAATCAGATCTGTGAAACGGATAGGCACGCAACACTCAGTTTCTTGAACAGGACAGAGTCCAGAAGTGGACGAACAACCAGAACTTTTCACCAGAGTTTATAGTCAGTGTACATGAGGAAGAAGAAGGATCATGGACTAAGAAATTCTTGAAAATGTGTACATATATTGGCATTTGTGTGTGTGTGGTCATTTCTGTCAGTGCCACAGTGAATTCCATATTCTCCTACAGGGTAACTTTTCTTTCACCACTCAATGTATAGTTTAAAGTTAATTTTTGTCAGTAACATCCAGAGTGAACATGGAAATGAGTGCTGCAGACTTGAAGTGTTTGATTGGAACTCAAAGATTTTATCAGCCACACTAGGGGTAGGGGACTGACAGTTTTAAAGTTTCATGACTGATAGTCTTGTCACGAAAGGGTGATAGATCACTTTTCTCTCACTGATCGTACAGTCTGAGACACATCTTTCTCTTGTTTCTTTAACGTCTCGTATTGATAACATCATTCTGAAGTTTAGTAGGAATTAATCATGGCGCAAGGCAGGAGATAATACAAGGTAAAGTGCACACATTAGAAGAGCATGGTCTTATGCCGTAACTGTCAAAACCTAATGACTGAGCACCAGATAGTTTGGTTGGAGAAATAATGCAGATTCATCAGACAGAAACATCAGGAAGGCATGTATTGAAATGTTCCCATCTGTCCCGTCTGTCTGTAGTAACTGGTGTCCAGTGTTGCTGAAGATTTTGTTAACGTTTACACGTTACTGCCTTTGCTGCAGAAGATGGGATATCTACAAGTCTCTCTGTTGTACTTTGGTGATGATTCTTCAGTCAGTCAAGTTAATCAACGTATTTATCAGGAATGGGGAGAAGAAATCCTGAGGCAGGCTTAGTTAAATGTATATTTACATTGCCCTTTCATGTTACAAGTGACTATTTTAAACAGTGTTTCATTTCTTCCACTTCCGTAACAGGTGACAAACACAGCAGACATAAATAACTGAACTGTTTGAACAGACCAAAGGGGACAGAACAAAGACCTGCCTTTGGACTGCTGTATATGACAAAACATAACTAGCCGCTCAGTAACTTGATTTTTCTTAAAGATATGTTTTTTAAATACAAACATTTGCATTCTTCATCATATTGCTGTGGAAACATAAGTGATCTTTGCTGACAATATGCATTTCTTTTTTCCTTTTTATAAGTGATTGGTGATTACTACAGTCTGTTGTATTGCCATCACACTAGAAGTAGTTTAATTTCTGTCATACTTGGATTCTGTTTGCATGATACTTTTGGAGTATACATCATAAAGATTCTGTATGTAATTCCTATCCAAGTATATGTGCTTGCTTTTTAACTGGTGGTTAAAGATAAGTGCTCATTCTCTCCTTTTCTCTATTTTGCCTTTATGTTGTAATATTTTGTCATTTATCAGATTAGAGATTAGAAAGAAAAAAAATAAGAGGACAATAAAATTTAAATCCACCTTTTAACTGAGTGTCACTTTCGTTAACCAGTGTTAATTTGTTTTGATATTGTGGAGAATTTTGAAGTTTTCAAATTGTAGTTAAGTTTAATAAAGAAGTGTCAGTAATAGTCTTTTAAAGTTCCTGTTTTGTTTTTCCAGTTTCATATGTCCTGTGTAGAGTATTGTCTTCCTTACTTTGAAAATAATATTTGTTTGAAATTCCCTTAAATGACAAACACAGGGAAATATATGTACTGTGACAGTATTTATACCTGGCTGCACAACATACTTGTCATTTAAATTCAGTTTGTTATTTGGACAGTGACTTTCGCTTATCTTCGGCTGAAAACGGATGTGTTCAAAGTAGAGTTAGAGGGACATATGCAAAATTTTCTGTTTGGCAGTTTGAGTCGTAGATTGAATAAAATAAGAGAGGTTTTTTTATCCTTAAAAATATGTAATTATTCGGCCATATTTAAAAATGAATACTGCATTTAAATTGTGTGCCCCCGACTATTGCAAACAGACTCACAGTACTGCACGGAAGGTCATTCCTCAGAGCAGTCACAGACTAGAAACACCTGCATGAAGCCCTGGCTGGTAAGAGTAGTCTTGGATGGCCAAATCAATCAACTAGGCTTGCATACGCGCTTGAAAAAAAATTGGTCAATGTTTTAGAGCAAAAATCAGACTTCTGCAGGGATTGGCCAGCAGGTACAGATGACTCAATGTTCATAGCAAAAGCAGATGGACGAGGCTTGGTTTAGTTAATTCAGCAAAACCTAGCTTATGATACCACGTATAGTTTAAGAATGGAGGTGGAGGCAGTCAT